CTCCGTGCGGGGAAAGTTGCTCCGACCCAGCGGCCACGGAGAAACTTCCCGGCTCGGCTGTGCCCTGCCCGCAGCCCCGCTACCGGAGCGGACCGGCACGGCGGGGAGAAAAGTTTCATGGAGGCTGAAAGGGGAGCGGGGAGCCGGGGGCTGCCCGGGGCTCCGGCAGCCTCGGGGGAGCCGCTCCCATCCCGCAGCAGCAGCGGGAGGAGGGGATGCGGGGTCACTCGGGGATGCCGGAGCGTGTCCCCGTGTCCCCGTGTCCCCCTCACAGGGCTGCTGTGAGGAGCGGGCGTGTGTGTGCGTGTGGAAATTCATCTGCCGCACCGGAGAGAGCGAGGCACGCAAGGCTTCTGCTCGAGAGAGAGAGCATGCGAGGCTTTAAATGTCTTCATCATGCACGGAATTAATAACTGCAGTCAAGTGCGGCCTTTTGAAAGATGGGAACACTTAGGGTGGAATTAGTCTCGACATCTCTGGAGTAATGACAATGCCTGATGGATCGCTGGATGGAGCAAATAGTCCAAAACCCTTGAAATGGGTTTTAGACTTGCTGGGCAAGTCTAAGCAGAGTCACTCTGTGGTTGTTTCTGGCTCTTCCCCCAGTCCTCGGTTGCAGATAAAGTTGAAAAATACCCGGCTGAAGTCATGTGTGCTCTCGGTGTCCCCTGATCAATTCGCTGTCCTAGGCAGCCACCTGGTCACTCCCTGTGTGTAAATCTGTGCCGAGCTGCACTGAGATCCCTCCCCTGCCAGAGTAAACTGAAAGAGCTCCCCCTTTCCCTTCCTTGAGCTGGAGCAATCGTCCGCAAGATTTCCAGGTGTTTCACGGGTATTAAATGAAGTTGCACTAAGAGGTAGACAGCGTTCATTCCTGGGAAGGCTGAGCAGCCTGTTTGGGGGAAGGATACTTGGGTAAGGCTGTGAATTGTAGCCTTTTTTGTCAGAGCCGCTTAAAGAGTATAATCCTTAAAAAGAAAGTGTGAGCCCACCTTCCCTTGCTGAGCACCTGGAAAAGGTGTTTTCGCGTTTTTTTCACTGATGTTTTCGTTACTCCGGCTCTGTCACCTCAAATCTGGAGCCCTTTTGTTCACTTTGTAGGGCCTCCCTTGGATGAGTTCAGCGCTTCTGGTGCAGCTGGATGCTTTTCCTCCTGCGTCCATGGCAGGAGGGGGATGCAGACCCTGTCCTGGCTCGTGGAGCTTCTCTGCAAGAAGGAAGATGCTGCAGGGCAAGCCTGCGAGGACCGTGGCCTGGCTGGGGACCGGAGGAGAGCTTGTAAATGAAGCTTCCTCTCAGGAGGTTGTTGTGCTTGTGGGAAACCACACACCTTGGTAAGAGGTGAAATTGTGCAAAGTTCCCCTGCTGCACGAAGCTTTCTATTTGCCTGACAAGTAGGAAGGTGAAATATTGCATCCCTGGTCTGTCTGGTCTCACCTGCTCCAGACAGAGGGAAAACGCTGCTGAGGGCTGATGGCAGCTGAACACCTGAGGGAGTGGCAGCCAGGCTGACACAAAGAGATCATCTCGGGGTGCTGCACTAATGGCTTTTCCTAACGAGCCTGGGATGCTGGCAGGATGCACTGCAGGGCCTGTCTGGTCGCAGCTGAAGCCGAAGGGGAATTAAAATGCTTGGGGCTCTTCATGGGTGAGCTGAAAACTGGAGAAATGCCCCCGCCCCTTTGGAAAAGGGAATGTGAAAAGTAATCAGGAGTATAATTGAACACCCCCTCAGAGTGGTAGGGACGTATTTAGAACAGTCAGCAGCTATGTGCATTTTGTTTTAATTCTTTTACAGTACAGTAAGTCTTCCCCCTTGCCGCTGTTGCTAAGATACATTACCACACTCCTGGCTAAAGCAATTCCAGCCCAAGGAGTGCATAGTTTTCAGAGCATAGAAGATACAGAATAGCCTTTAAGTGTTTAAGAGAAAACTTGTCCCTTTTTTTTCCCCATGCTGTTCGGTAAAACTTCTTCTCTGTGGCTGTTTTCCACAGTGCTGGATCAGACAGGCAGTAAATGCACACGAGAGAGCTGCTGTGTGTGAGATGTCACACAGTGAGGGTGTGAAACCTTCCTGCCCTCCCATGGCATCACCCCAGCAGGGCTGGTGCGCAGCCTGCAGAGGGGTTTGTGCCTCTCCACCTCTGCTCCTTTATTTATTTGAGGATCTGAGAAGGGTTTAGGCTGTGCCCCGTACAGGTGAGGAGTTCCAGCTCGTTTCTGAGCGCTGGCAGGAATGGGCCTTAAAAGTGCGATGTGAACAGCTGCTTGGGAAGGGAGATATAAAAAAAGTCCTCCCAGAGAGCCAAATGTAACCACATTCAAGATGTTCCTAGGAGGGGAAGTCATCTGCATGCAATGAATGCCACAGTCAACATCCACATTTGGGTTTTTTTATGTATCACATACAGAAAATAAATGAAATTCCAGAAACAGACTCAGGTTTAAGTGTCTGTACGCTTTGTGTTCAACAGTATTTGGTGAATCTGGCTTTTCTCTATTTTTATGATTCCAAATATGTGTTCTTTGAGTAAATAATAATAAAAGTAATTTTAAGAATCAGTCTCTGTGAATAGGCCTTTTTTTCACCTTCAAGTCAGCTGTCCATATATAAATTTTCAGGTAAATCTTGACTTTAATCCAGCTCTTTGTTAATTTAATTTGATGGCAGTGTGGTGTTTTAAACCTTGAGCCACTTGACAGTGAATTAACATTTGTCTCTATAACACAACCTTCCACCAGTATTTACAGAACACAGAGCATCATGAAAATTCAGCTGCTCTCTGCTGTGGACAAGGTGTGTGAACTCAGAGGGGACAGTTGCTCTTGTGGAGATGTTAAATCAGGCCTGTTGAGAAAACAAGCAGGAACAGAAAGGCATCTGAAGATGCAGAGGAAGTGCTGGAGCTGATCTGAGCAGAGGAACTGTGTGTGGCTAAAAAGAGATCCTCTCCTTCCCGAGGAGGAAGCTATTAGGGGACTGCTCAGATCGAAGTGCCTCTCTGCTGAGCTTCTGAAGGAGTCAGCCTGACCTGTGCTAGCGTTGCACAATGATAAGGGCAGATGGGCACAAAGACTTCTGCCCTAAAATTGCTTTGTCTGCTTTCTGTGTCCTTGCTCTTAGCATAATCAATACTTTGGTTTTAAGAGGGGTGATTGCTCCTTACTGTAATTCCACAATGTTCCTGAAGGAAACCCAGCTGGACCTGCAGTGTGCAAAGGGTTAATTCACAGAATTCGGTAGCACAAGGAGAAGAGAGGTTTTGTTCCTCCTGGACCTGACTGGGGGAAGGTCTTCTCTGTCCATGGTTGTCAGCTTTTTCATATTTTGGGCCCAAGCCAGTGAAGTATTGCTTGTACAAGCCAAGTGTAAACAATCAAGGGGCAGCAGAGGCCACGAGGTCTGGCTCTGTTCTGTGTCTGCCAAGGTTTGGCTCTGTTTGTCTTCAAAGGCCATGAATAAAACAGCTGGCCCATGGGATGAGAAATGTGCCACCCAGGAGAGCTGTTCCAGTGGCATTCCTGGGGCCCTAAAACATCTCCTGTGTCCAATGGGGGCCATGGACACTTCTGGGACTTTTTGAAGGATGGAGTGTTTGCCCTGTGTGTAGAGCTCCTGCAAAATGAATCTCGAGGCTGAAGACTCTGTGCCAGGGGATGTAGGTGCAAATCCTTATCACCAATTGTCTCTTTATTTTGGGTAGGAGATCTGTGGGGTGGGGGTGTCTTCTTTGGTCTCTGTGCAATGAGTTTTCTGAATGATGACATTTCCCTTGGGCTGCAGTTGAGCACCTTGTAGAGCCCAGATGATCAGAGGGATGGAGCTGCTCTCCTGTGAGGGAAGGCTGAGGGAGCTGGGATTGCTCAGCCTGGGGAAGAGAAGCTTCAGGGTGACCTAATTTTGGCCTTCCAAGAAAGATGGGGAGAGACTTTTTACAAGGGCACGCAGTGACAGGACAAAGGGAATGGCTTCAGGCTGACAGAGAGTAGGTTTAAATTGGGTGTTAGGAAGAAATTCTTCCCTGTGAAGGTCGTAAGGCACTGGAAAAGGTTGCCTGGAGGAGCTGGGGCTGCCCCTGGATCCCTGGAAGTGTCCAA